GGAAAGAGGGAAAATTTGCTTTTATGTTGTGGAAGAACTCATTTTAGGGGCCTCCCTAGTGGCACAAGTGGTTAAGTACCACATGATGAAGAAATCCGCAGCCTCTGCAGCACAAATTCGATCCCTGGCCAGCCAGGGAGCAACCCACATGGTGCAGCAGACCTCTCCTGTCTCCCCGCTGCTCCCCTCAGCAATATATTTCAGTCAGTCTGCCTGTACTGCTCCCCACTGGTGAATCCTCTCACCCCCCGCATCTCTGGCCTGTGCCCCAGCTCTTGTATGCATAAATAAATAAATCTTTAAAAAAAAAAGAGCTCATTTTAAATAAATTTTTCTGGTGAATGTTGATATCTTTGGAAAAATATAGAATTTCAATTATGAGAGGCCACTTATTAAATCAACTAGTTTTTGCCTGAAATTCTATTAAAACTACTGATGTTCTTAATGTATAAGTAGGAGGTACGGTACTTTAACCCTGATTCTAACTTTTGAGAACATTTTAACAAGGTTTAATCAAAATGTATGTAGATTAAAAATCTAGCTTACCTATTTCACCTACTGGTGAATATTTTTTTAAAGATTTATTTATTTTATACAAGAACCTGGATACAGACCAGATGCATGGGAGGGTGAGAGGATTCACCCAGGATTTATACATTTTGTTAGTCAATATTGAAGACAAATCAACACAGAAAGTATGTATATACCCCTAGGGAGTGAAACATCCAGACAACAGATAACTAGACACCAAAAGAAAGACAAGTTTGAGGAACTGGGAACCCAATAATTCTAAGGGTTATGGCAAAATTACTCTATTGTCTTTTTTTAAATTTTCATTTATATCTTTGGATTTATAATCTCCTTAACTGATAAACAAAGGTTATTTTTATTGTTGTTGCTGTTGTTATTACTGTTATTATTATTATTATTATATTACAGCAGCTATCCTAAATTGAACATTTAATAGAGAATAGCAACTTTCAAGTTAGATGCATTATTAAAGGAGCTACTTCATTTCCATAACACATAATATTATCATCATATTTTATAACTGGAAAATTTAAGCAAATATAAAAATAAATTGCAAATGTCACTAGAAATTTCAAGAACAGGCCCTTCTATGACATCTGTAATATACATGTTCTAATGAGCATATTCAATGCCTTGGCAAACTGGTATTTCATGCCACATTTTGTTCTGTAATAATTTTCAGCATTACCAAAAATTTTAGATACAATAAACCTATTTCATGACTTTCAGTTATAAAGGTACTTAATATATAAAAATGTTCATTAAAAAATTCACCGATAGGGCCTCCCTGGTGGCGCAGGCGGTTGAGCGCTGCACTGTAAAGCTGTCCACAGCTTTAAATGTTTAAATCCGATGGATCTTGATTTTCTTCAAGATCATAGGATAGAAAGTTGTACCCCCCATAAACAAATAATAATAATAATAATAATGAATAGAATGGAATGGAAATCAGCTCAACCTACGGTGAGAACTGTTCTTGTTTGATTATTTTGTTCCTGAAATTACAGGTGCATATTTCTGAGTGTGTGTTGTACATGTGTATCTGGTGTAGCTTTGTTTGTATTAACTTGCCATTAAAAGATTTTTTGCAGCCAAAAATAACTGGAAGACACTATTTGGTTATGTGCCTATTTCATTTAAGATCTCTTTTTCCGGTATGGACAATGAGTCTAACACTGTTCAGGCATTTGTGCCTCAAATGCATGGGTGAAATTACATGTTTGATATCTTGCTTAATCCATTGCTAATTACTTATTAAAAATGCCAGTTCTATTACATAGAAAATGCTCAAGAGAGATTATTATACAGAATGAAATACTACTATCTAACCAGATGAATGAATGAAAATATTTGTAAATGAATGAATGCAAATATTCAAATCTGACCCTTTTCTGTAAGCATAATTATATTGTTACGATGGTCCCTTCCTAATTCTGCCCCTCAATAGTCTAAGGATAGATAGGTAGAATAGTAATATTGTTGTCTTCTAAATTTAGCTGATATTTTAAACTTATCAAGTAGCTATTCTAAAAATTACTTTTCATAGTTTATTTTTATAAGATTGTTTTACCCAGGTATAGTAATACATTAGTATATTACTTGAAAATGGCATGCATAGTCTTACAATATTATTAACCTATGAAAAGTATACTTGAAACTGAAAATTAGCAATAGTCAAAACCTCAGCAAACACTTATTACATAATCACTTATCATAACTGACATATTTTACAGTTTCTATATTTAGTTTTAAATGTCTTCACATTAAAAAATAATTATATCCCCATGTCAAGGTAAATAAATTGCAATATATTTGTGGTGATTTTAGCAGGGCAATGTACTAAAGGTAATTTAGAGTGATAATTTATTTAAAATGCAAGAAATATATTAAGAACCCCACCACTTTACCAAAATTGTAAATATGTATATTTTTCCAGAGCCTCAAGTTTTTTTTTAATCTTTTCTGTAAAGAGAACACATTATCCAAGAAGTGAATTTTTGATAAAATCATAGCATCAATTACCTTAATTATACAGAAAGTATTCAAGTAGTGACTTGACCACTATTTACAGATGTGTAGATTACATTATTTCTTATCATTTTTATGCTTTAAATGTTTAAATATAGGATAACAGTGTATAAAAGCATAAAATTGGGGTGTGATGGTTAGAGGACTTTGTGAAAATTCTCATTGTTGAAAAAACATTTGTATTCATTTTTGGCAGAGAAACAAATCTCATTCATTATTTATTCTTTTAAAAATATGAGAAATGCCCTTTAACTTTCACTTGGGTGGTCTTTCTTTTTGAAAAACAAAACCTAAAGAAAAAGGGCCTATCGGTCTTATGCCCAAGGGGAGATGTTTAAAACTAGCAAAACAACAAATAACTGAAAAAAAAAAAAAAAAAAGCATTGAAGCTACATTTGAATCATCTACCTGATGCATAGAATACATCCAACTTTTTTGTTGTTGTTGTTTAAATATTTATTTATTTATTTATTTATTTATTTATACAAGCACTGGGTACAGTCAAAAGGGTGGGAGGGTGTGAGAATTCACCAGAGCGGGGAACAGAACAGGCAGACTGACGAAATACACTGCTGAGAGGAGCAGCGGGTGTGGCAGGAGAGATCTGCGTACCATGCGGAACCCTGCGCCACCAGGGGAGGCCCTAAATCCAACTTTTTGAGTTACATTGAATAATGAAAGTGTCATTGTGTTAGCACATTAGGTGCCATCACACTTAATGGGTGCACATAGGGTTGTGTAAACCTGAGTTTCTGTCACTGGGATCGCATAGCATATCTCACATCTACCCTACAGAACCTGGAAAACACTGACCCAGTTATACCTTAACAGATGTGACTCACTATCAAATAAAATTGATCGGGAGAAACAAAAGTCATTAGTAGAAACAAGCATTGCAAAGATATCCAAAAAGAAAGAATCTGACTGCCCTTAAAATATAGCTCAGTGTTTATGAATGACAGCGACATGAAGTTTCGCCTTTTTTCTTCATCAGGGAAACTCAACTAGCCTAGCCTGAGTAAGACCCCCCTCCCCAAATAGAGGGGAGCAAATTTAAAGCAAGCCAGAAACCAGCATGTATTCATCCTCCTCTTTCTGACTTGGGGGCAAGTAAATGTAAAGTTGCCCGGAGACCTAATAATCTGCCCATTTGCAGGCATGTTGTAATAAATTGTGAGCATCCTTCAAGTTTTGAAGGGAGTTCCCCACTGGAGATTCTGAGTAAAAGCAGAAGAACATCCCCTGGAATAACAACTTAGTTTCTGTTTCTCCATTTCCAAGCTAGAAGTGATATTTATTAAAAATAATCACAACCAAGAAAACAAAGCAAATGTCTTTAAAAGCTTCTTTTGCATGAAAAAATGACAAAGAAATTTATGATATTGTAATCCATTGTTTTCTTCCATGCTTTTTTGTATGGGATTATTTTAACTGAGAATCCCAAGTCTTCCAGTAAAATGTATAATAGAAAAGAACTGAAATCACCATTTTGAAGGATGTGGGGACTCTGATCCCTTTCATTATTCTACACAAGGTTAAAATAGAAATAAAATCAAGACCTTGATCTAAGCATTTGCAAAATGTAAATAAAAATAAGCCTTTGTATAGCCATGTATCAATGCTGAGGAGGGGTTACCTGATTCCCCTGTATCCACACATCAGAGTCATGTTATCTCCAATTAAAGTCCCTCCAGTGTATATTCTCTGTACATGTAAAGTTTCTTTTCTGGTTTTTATGGAAAGGAAGTGTAAAAGGGCATTTAAAAATGTTTATACATTTCCTCTGGCATGCTTCAGGCTGTACTATTAGAGAGAATTCTTTAGGGAAGCATCCATTTGTGAATGGTCTTCCCATCTCTGTTAGAAAGTGAAGGCTGATGGATAAATAGATCAAACCATTTAGGAAATGTGAAGCTGGGAGCCCACTGCATTATGAGCCTTTCTAAGAGGGATAGAAGATTCTAGAAACTAAATTGCAGCAGATATATATACACACACACACACATATAAACTCCAAACTTCATTCCATGGGCATTAAGGATGAAAAAACTGTGTAAAACCTAAACTCTTCCCAAATTTAATATCCCTGGAATCATTCATTCATTTCATTCATTCATTCATTCATTTTTTCATCATATTCAGGGAGGCCCTATACCCCTGAAATTTAAAACAAAAATATTTTTGATTATAAGAACAAAAGGATGCTCACCAGAAGGGAAGGGAGATAGGGATTGGGAAAATTGGGTAAAGGGAATCAGTTGTGCCGTGATGGATGGAAACTAGACTTTTGGTAGTGATCATAGTGTAGCATATCCAGATAGATGCAATTCTCTGTACTTGAACACTTTGCAATTTCAAAATCAATATTCCTTCAATATTTGCAATAAAGATGCAATTGGATACCCTTGTAGATATTACATGTTAGAAGTTGAACATTTTAGTCTAATTCAACAGGTAGAGACATCAGAAATGGAGATCAACATGAGTGCTGAAGTAGGAGAAAATTCAGAGGATTCATGTCTTAGAAGCAAAGAAGACAGAGAAATTGACTGCTCATTTTCTTCTGCTTGGTAAGAAGGATGACATCAAGAAATGCCTATGAGATTTAACACTGATGTCCCCAAGAGCAGTTTGAATGCAGTTAAGATAGAAAGATGCTGACCAAAATTGGTATAAGATGATGAGAGTGAATAAGGTAACTCTGTCCCAAAGTTTGCTTAAATAGGGACATGGGACAGTTGTTAGAAAGGGAATTGAGGTCAATATTCGTTCAATTCATGTACTGCTAGAAATATCTAAGGAAAGGGAAAGAAATAATGGTGGAAGTGCAAAAGGGAATAATTGACGGTATGGTTTTCTTTATGGTAAGGTAATAGGAATACCTAATGCACAAGTCCATTACTTGGTATTTGATGGGAACACTGATGTATTTATCAATAATAAAAAAGAGGAGGCATAATATGGGAAGAGATGTAAGTAGGCAGAAATGTGGTGGGGACCTACCAGATTTCTCTGTTGATTGTTTCTTTCCTTTGACTAACGGTGTGACCATCAGATAAGTGTAAGGATGGGATAAGACTTGGTAGAATTTAAGATTAAGGAAAGTGTAAAAATGTCTGTTAATGGAGAAAGATTTGGAATGGAGCAGTCTTGTATAATTTCTATAGCATTTGAAGCTCAATTTTGGGAATTCATCTTAAACTTCATGAGAAAAAGTAAAAATGACCAAAAAAAAAGATTAACAATGGATTCCTATTTCATCATTTTCAGTTGCTTGGACACAGGCATTGAGCACACAGAAGTTAAATTTAACAGAGTTACAATTTAGTCAAATGATGCATTAAAGTATTTGAAGAGGATTGAAATGAGCAAATGAGTTGAGCACATGTGCTGGGGAATACTTTCATAATTATACATGAGGTAAAGAGGAAAGTGAGATCATGAAGATACTATGAATAGATAGTAGGATAATGCAACTGAAGGTTGAGGGATGAATAAAGAAAAGTTAAAATTGGAATAATTAGGTAAATGAGCTTCAGGACTACATATGGTGCAGAGAGAATGATGTTTGCAAATTAAAATAGTTGCAATTATTAAGACAGGTCTAGTGGATGGTTGTAAGGGGTGTGGGTTGAGGTAGGGTACAGATCAATGTCATTGAGAAAAAAATGTCAAGAAATTGTGATGTCCAGAGTACTTGGACATCCTTCTAAGTAGATATAGGATGGAAAAGTTTGCAAAGAATAGTGAGGCAAGGCATTTTATTTTAAGGGAGCTAAATAGTAAAATTAATTTCACAAGTAGATTTTGTATGCTGTGTCTGCACATGGATATGGAACAGAGTCATTTCTGTGTCAATGATTGGGGAATCATTGTCATAACCCCATGTCTGAGATTCTTTACCTGCTGCTCTCTCATCCTCCAAGTTCCTAACTCATAGATTCTCAGATATGGTATATACAATGCATCCTGACTGGTTTATGAAATGTCATAGTCCAACCATTCTTTTTGTCCTTAAATTTTAATCTGTAATTTTAACACATGACAAATAACGCAACAAGACTTACATGCTAGAGGACAGAGTGAGAAAGTTGGAGTTATCTTAATGTAAAGAAGAACAAAGATGGTATAGAGCAGAAGGTAGAATGAGGGAAGAATAAACATATCTTGAAGAAGGGAAAATGATCTAGATATATAAGATATAGATAGATAGATAAAAAATAAGGAGAGACATCCCCATAAAGCCAGCTAGAAACATGCACAGACTAGGAAAGAGATGGCTATCAAACTTAAAAAAAGAAATTTTAATAAAAAGATCTGGAAAAGAGAGATTTTGGATAAATATTTTATATTTTAATCCTGTTAAATTAACAAATATTAGTCATATGACATTTTCCGATGCCAGGGACTTCAAAGTTGTCCTTATTCTTAGGTATTTGCACCATAAACAAATATTAATGAGACAACTTTTACATCACCACTAGATTTTAGTGTTTCTACTTTAAAATGTGTGCAACTTTAACAGAGACGGTACCTTAATTAAAAGCTACCTCATTGTCATTAGATAGTACCATCAACAATATTAAGTCTAGGTCTTCATTTTAATCAATTTATGGAAAACCTATTCATGACAATTTAAAAAATGTATATTAGTTTCAAAGGAAAATAAATTTTCTTTTTTGAAGTCAGGAACTAATTAATTTTCCCTTTAAGGTTTGTAAAACTGAGAGGTAAAAACATTAAGTGCAGATATATTAGCATTTTAACTAAATTGAAGTTATTTTGACAGATGAAATTACAACTGAGATTAGATTGGGAAGACAAAATATTTGAAGAATCCTGTGATTGAACTAACAGGAGTCATTTTATTAATCAAATATCTGAAGGATTGTGATAGTCTAAAATATTTTTTAAATATGACAAAGTTAGTAATTGAATTTGTCTATGTGCCTTATTCCATGGGTTATTCACCGGCATTGTAAGTGTCATGAATTTTGTCTACTTGAATATTTCACTAGGTGGGTACATAGTGAATCAAATAGAGAGTGCATCAGAGCATAGATTTAAATTATCTCTGTTAAGGTTCAGTACATGACAAAACCTTGGCCACTTTTTCATTTGCAAAGTATTTTCCATTCTTGGAATTTTATTTTTCCCGAACATATTTTTTTTCTTTATTGTATGGTTTGAATTGGAATTCTGTTATTAGCCTACAGAAACATCTTAGGGTATGTTTTTTTTTTTTTTTTTCGTTTGTTTCAATATTTATGTTATTTTTGAATTGTTCTTGTTTATAAATGGTGATGACCATGATCTTTTTGAAATATGATGGATCTTTTGTAATACAAGCAAAGCCTGTTTTATAAGTTCTGTTTACCTTTCGTGCAGCCTGTTCCTGAGCTGCATGCTTGAAATCTTGCTATCAAGCAGGTCTGCACTCTGTACCCCATTATTCTTGTATTTCTCTTGTGGAATTTTATGAATCCACTCAGATGGTAGCCAGCTGACCAGTAGTTTTTCTTTGATTGATAAGATGATAGAAAATAAATGTTTCTTTTATTTAATTTTTTAACAATTTGTTTATTTATGCACACAAGAACTGGGGTACAGACCAGCGTTTGGGGGTGAGAGGATTCTCCAGAGACAGAGTGGGGAACAGAACAGGCAGAATGACTGGAATACACTGCTGAGGGGAGCAGCAGGCTAGACAGGAGAGGTCTGCTGCGCCATGTGGGTTTCTCCCTGGTGGGTAGGGGATCAAACTCATACTGCAGAGGCTGTGGATTGCTTCATAGTGTGGTGCTTAACCCCTTGCGCCACCAGGGAGGCCCCAAAATGCTATGTTGGAAAGTATAGGGAGTCTTGTCTATTATTTTCACAGGATTTTTTTTTTTATTTTTAATGCTCCTCAAAATTATTTTCCTTTTCATGTCACCTCTTCTTTTTCCACCTTTCTTAGTTCTAACTGTTCCATCAGTGTGTGTGTGTGTGTGTATGTGTAATCACTCTTACACTACATTTAACTTTTAAGCATGTACCATGGGCAATGAAGAATGCACGTTTTAGCATGAGATTCCCTGGGTTAGAATCACAACTAATTATCAGGAGTATATGCATGCGAACTTTAGTAAATAACTCAGTTTCTTTTATGTTCCATTCTCAGCATCCATGTGCCGGGATGATCATTATTGGAGGCGATCTTTAAAGCTTTTTTAGGAATAAATTAATCCATTAAAAGAGCTTTGACTACTGCCTGAGTATAAACTAAATCTCTTCTAGAGGGGTGCCAGTCATCACTTTGTTTTCCCTAGTCTCCATACATATCAAACTGTCTCCTCCATCTAAGTTTCTATTTCAGCCACTACTTCTCATGGTGCATGACTGTCCTAACCAACATCATCTCTTCCATGGGAATACACAGTGGGGGCTCCACTCAGGAGGAGAGAAAAAATAAAGCATAAAACATAGTGTTTGCATTTTTTAGTAAACAATAGAAATCCTGAAATGACCATTTATGAGTATATTATGAAAATTCAACACTGTAAATATTTTGATTCAAATTATTATAGGAAAAGTGAAAATAAGAATTAGGGCTTAGGTTATAAATCTCAGCTAAAGGTAGTAACAGTAGCACATTAAGATGTAAAATCTGACATATCAGGGCCTTTCTTGATTTAGAAGTCCTTGTAACTTGTGTGCTAAACATACCATGCAGATGAGTCTCAATTTTTGAGTTTCAAAATCCAAGAACAATGCTGAAAATCAGTCAAGGCATTTACTTATTCATCAATTCATTCATCTAGGTATTTATTAAGTAACTAGTGCAAGCCTATTCTAGGTGAGTTAGAAAATCAGATTCCCTGCAAGCCAGAAGCTTAAGCAGACCTAACATATATCCCGTAAAATTAAAATGGGCAAAGCAAATGATACATGCATGAGAATGTCCAAACAGCGTTCATAATGTCCCCTGCACACTCTAGATTTCTGCCCCCTAAACATTTCTATATCCCCAATACCTCTTAGGTACTGGTTGCCCTTGGGTCTTCTCAATATTATTTTCTTCTTTCTTATGGCATGCATCCATTTCCTGCAGAAAACATTTGAGCCAGTTTTATGAGCTTCTTTCCTAATGCCCAAGTATGTATGGGAATCAGGATACTTTTCTCTTGTAGCATGGAAAATTTCCCTGCATTCAACATTTATGCCAAACTAAACCTGCATGAGAAAGTCATTTGATTAAAAAGGCTAATGTTTGAGTTCTGTAGTACTGATGACAGGAAGACTTGATGACTCGTAACTATGAACTTGTTGTCAAAATGTTGAGTCAGGCCTGTTTTCATTTCCATTAATCATAGAACATGGGAACAAATGTATACCTAGAAGTCCCCAATGATTATAAAAAGTTAGAAAACATTTTGTAGTATTGAATGATATTCCAAGTGATTTTATGGATGATCACATCAGCTATAGATGAAGGATGAAAACCACTTGTATATGATGCTTAAAACTGGAAAAGAATAGGAGAAAAATGCTATAGGTCCCTTGCAAAGCAGTTTCTGAAATTGCCTGA